AATATATATTATATTATAATTTAATATTTAATAAATCTATTTACTACCTGATTTTTGAAATAATTACACAAATTTGTTAGTTTTGAAAATTAATTTTTATATGTAGGTTTTGTGTATTGTTCCGTTAATTAATGGAAAAATTAGGTCCATTACCCTAAAAAATGGAAAAATAGCTTAAAAACTAATTGAAGTTATTAACCCCATAACCAATACGATCAAAATCTCCCAAATCCCCAACCTCAGGCACAGGGAGGTGGAAAACTGAGGAATACAAATGGCAAATTCTGTAATTAGCGATCCCATTAGGGTTTCATATCGGATTATTAATGGAATTCATTTTCTTGTGTCGCCGATGGATGGAAAGATAATCGATTTCGATAAAAGATTCAATTTCGAAGAACCGATGGATTCAACCAATTAAAAACTTATAGATAGGAATCGAACACAAGTGAATCTATTGAGATTATGGATTAGGATTTTGGTTCGAGAGAATGGGAATCAAAATTCCCAATTTGATTATCAATTCCATTTTTGTTGTTATGTTTTATACTGGTGATTATTGGGTGTTTAATTATTATGCATATTTATGCTACGTGTTTAACGTCTATGAATTTCCTTGCTATTCTTCCAGCTTGGCAGATATAAATACATTTTTTCAAATTAATTTGTTTTCCCCCTTTTTTTGGGTTGATGCAAATGTCATGTTTCGTTACTTGTATATACTTTTACGAAGTCTCAATTGAAACTGAAGGCTAGGGTTTGTTGTAATGTTTTCAGATGCCTTTTGTTTGCAGAGTTGGCCTTTGTGGAGGTGGAGGAGTGGTTGAATTAGCATAAAATGATATATTTTAAGGTTTTGATATATTTGCATTAAAAAGTGACATTGTATAATAAAAAAAAGTGGCATTTTAAGGTTTTGATTGGTGTTTTGTTACTTTTTTTTTTTTTTATTGTTTGTCACTTTTTTGCATTTTTATAATTTTTTTTGAGTGTTAATCACATTTTTCTATCACTTTTTCGAAATTTCTATCATTTTTTTGGTTGTGTATTACTTTTTTTTAAAATTTATGTCACCTTTTTAGTGACAAATATAAGCTTTGATTGTTGTTTTGTCTTTTTTTTTTTTTAGTGTCACTATTTTGAATTTTTGTCACTTTTTTAACATATCACTTTTCTGAGTTTGTAACTTCTTTTGAATTTTGTCATTTTTTTAATGTGTCATTATTTTTATTTTCTGTCAATTTTTTTGAATTTGTCACTTTTTTTAAATTTATGTTTCTCTTTTGAATTATTGTCTTGTCACTTTTTTTTTTTACTTTTTTTTTCATCTTCTTTTTTTTTTTTTTAGTGTTTGTCACACTATTGAAATTTCTATCACGTTTTAATCAAAGTGATATTGTATGTTATTTTTAATTAAAAAGTGACATTATCTTACTTTTTAAAGTTAATTGCCACTTTTACACTGTATTTTTTACTTCAAAAATATTTTTCGTATGATTTTTCAAAAGACCTCTAATTTTAAAGGTATTTTTGTAAGTTACCCTTAATTAATTAAGTTGTATTAATGGCCCGCTTGCTTTTAGGTCGCCTTTTAATTTATTGTGTTGATAATTATTTCACTCATCGATCGAGACCTATTAAATATATTCTAAATTGTTTAACATCATTAATCCAGATTTATTGAATATCAAAACCCAACAATCTATCTATTTTTAAATATAAACGATGAACCAGGGGAGTATTGTTTTGCATTACAAATGTCCGGAATTCTTACCCAAACTACTGATCTATTAAAAATATAAGTCAGAAAAAAAAAGAAAAAAAAAACGCAAGGAAATGATCATCTGATCGTCTGTTGTATATGTAAAACATCAATTCATATTGAAAAATTGCATCAGGCGGCTCAATACGATACACGACGTGGCAGTATGGTTGATGTTGTGGTTAAAGATACAGAATTTAAAAACCTGTGATACGTAACAGCGGGACGGACATAGACAATTAAAGTTAGCGGACACAATCGAATTTTCAAAAAAATTGGGAGAAATTTTACAATCGAAAAAAACTAGACTGTGAGCACTTCGAAATGATATTAAGAATGCAATATTTCGATTTCGTTTCACATTTTATAATAATTTCGAAAATTGAAACAAAACATAGAAAAAAAAAAAGCTAAGCAAAGCAAGTTGGGGGGGCACGTGCCCACNNATAGAAAAAAAAAAAGGGGGAGGGGGGTCCCCCTAAGCCCACCCCTGCATCCGCCAGTGCATAACACACAAGATATCTACAACACTGGCACGGAACAAAATAGATAGTTTTGAATTAAAACACCACATTCAAATCATAGTGGAAAATTGAAGAAAATGATGCAAAAGGATGATGCTCGCATTGTAGCATGTAGAAACAACATATGAATTGTTGTAAAAGGATAGTACTCCCATTTCATGACTCTGGAAATAACCTAGTATCATCTAAGCATTCCTACGTAACTAGTCAAATCAACAACCCCTTCATCTTCCTGTCACGCTTGACGGTACACTATTGACATGGTCGGTTACATCTGGATGTCTTTGGATCGAAAATCTGTCCCATTCCATCAATTTTTCCGTTTATAATGTATTCTAAATTTTATAGCATACGACCCACAGTCACGTCTGATACAGTGGAATAAAACATTGTTAGTGACTGAAAATTTTCGTATCAGCTTTTGAATTAACAAACCAAACACAAAAGAAATGTATATTGTTAGGCTGGAAATGCAGAAGATCAAATTACATAAATAATTTTTGTGTAATAATATTTTGTTTGGAGATTTTCTTTTTTTTTTTTTAAAAAGGGTAAAAGAGTATTTTTTTTCATTATTAATTGAAAAATAGGTATGCGGTATAATTTCCCGTATTCGCAATAATAAGATTAAAAACGGGTATGAGCCGATTCGTACTAATTGGACCAACAGCCGTTCTGGTAGCCCAACTTCTGAACTGGTGTTGACCAGTCCGCCTTCCTAGCAAAATATGTTTCATTTTGGTGGATAACATTAAAATGCAAAAGTTGCTATGGATGTTCTGCATTCTTCGACTTCTTAAATCTTTTTTTCTTTTTAGAGATCAGGGTAACCCAAAAAATTAAAAATAAAT